AAAAGTAGCAAAGACAGGATTGTGTGGGTTGTAATTCGCTATAAAAGTGAATGTCTGATAATAACGATTTTAAAACGAAACAATTTAGTATGACCTAAGTTCATATATGTTAATATTTAACGGACCCCCCCACCTCGCCACGAGGGATGTATGTGGCATAAGGCCGAGTTAACAGTGGGTTCTTCGAGCCCGTAGTCTTGGCCAAAATTATTCCCTTAGAACCCGCATAAACGGGTCTGGGCTGTCTATCGCCCTGACGAAACTTTCGATTCAGCAAAACCAAGACCAGGTTCCTCTCTGATCAAGGCAGAGAAAAAAAACAGTAATAGACAGGCTATATCAATGCCATATATGTTGGCCACATGGTAAGAATCATATTCGATAATAATTATCCATGACGCATACTCCTTAACCAGTACACCAAAATAAAATGTCCTCATTATGCTAAACTTTTTTCTGACGTGAGACCAAAAATGTAAGGTAACCTCTTGTAATAATCTGTGGGTCTCTCCATGTTAGTCCAAAGTCATAAATGTATGGCACCTGGTGAGGATTAAATTGTATAGAGTGCTAACCATTTTTCCATGGTGACTCTAGAATGTTCTCTTATGAGACATGACTTGATTCTTGGGGAAAAATAAGTCAATATTTGGGAATTTAGAAAAATCCGGCTAGTCTATTGTCCCGATTTAAGGATCGGCTTTATGCATCGCATTTGGAATGTCATGTTGTCAGAATTCAAAATCACCAGTCGATTGCTTTGCCCCCAAAAAAATCACCAGTCGATTTCTTTGCCCCCAAAATCAACAGTCAATTGCATTGTCCCAAAAATCACCAGTCGATTGCTTTGCCCTAAAAAATCACCAGTCGATTGCTTTGTCCAAAAAATCACCAGTCGATTGCTTTGCCAAAAAATCACCAGTCGATTGCTTTACCCAAAAATCACCAGTCGATTGCTTTGTCCAGAAAATCACCAGTTGATTGCTTTTACCCAAAAGTAACCAATCGATTGCTTTGCCCCCAAAATCACCAGTCGATTGCATTGTCCAAAAAGACAAAAGTCGATTGCTTTACGCAAAAAAATCACCAGTTGATTGCTTTGTCCAAAAAATCACCAGTCGATTGCTTTGCCCTAAAAAATCACCAGTCGATTGCTTTGTCCAAAAAATCACCAGTCGATTGCTTTGCCAAAAAAATCACCAGTCGATTGCTTTACCCAAAAAATCACCAGTCGATTGCTTTGTCCAGAAAATCACCAGTTGATTGCTTTACCCAAAAAGTAACCAATCGATTGCTTTGCCCCCAAAATCACCAGTCGATTGCATTGTCCAAAAAGACAAAAGTCGATTGCTTTGCGCAAAAAAATCACCAGTTGATTGCTTTGTCCAAAAAATCACCAGTCGATTGCTTTGCCCTAAAAAATCACCAGTCGATTGCTTTGTCCAAAAAATCACCAGTCGATTGCTTTGCCAAAAAAATCACCAGTCGATTTCTTTTGCCCCAAAATCACCAGTCGATTGCATTGTCAAAAAATCACCAGTCGATTGTTTTGCCCTAAAAATCACCAGTCGATTGCTTTGTCCAAAAAATCACCAGTCGATTGCTTTGTCCAGAAAATCACCAGTTGATTGCTTTACCCAAAAAGTAACCAATCGATTGCTTTACCCCAAAAATCACCAGTCGATTGCATTGTCCAAAAAGTCACAAGTCGATTGCTTTGCGCAAAAAAATCACCAGTCGATTGCTTTGTCCATAAAATCACCAGTTGATTGCTTTACCCCAAAAATCACCAGTCGATTGCTTTGTCCATAAAATAACCAGTCGATTGCTTTGCCCAAAGAAAGCGGTTTGTTTCATTTATAAAGTAATTCAAATGAGCAAATTTCACGCAGTAGTTCTTTGGAATAATATTTGTCCATGTCTCAGCAATTCGTTATAAAGAATTTAATTTAAACCCCACCAAACAAGAATAATTATCCACTAAATTCCATTTAGTTTGATATCCTGAAAGTTTTTCTAAAATACACCCTTGTGCAAATTAATTGAAACAAAACGAATAATTCCGTTATTATTTACTTATTTAAGGGTTCAGTTCGACATTCCAACCACCTGAAGAAGGGCGGAGCGTACAACGGCCGAAACGTTGTAATAAATATGGCGACAAAGATGAGGACAATAGTCCGAATAATGTAAATAATGTACATAATACCTCATCTCAGAAATATAGACAGATACTTGATTTGAAAGATTGTCTAAATAATAAAACACTATGTAAAATTAAGGAAGACTTCTAGGATATCCCTAATATTGTGCAAAAGAGGAAAATTTGCATCATCTTGATCGTAAGAGATCCCGTATCAGTATTTTTTTCTTCGTATAATTTTGACAATTTTCGATTCTTAAAAGGAACTTGTTTTGTTTCCCTCTGATATTAAAGTTCACAAACCCCGTCAGCATCACTCACAACAGCAAGGTTAACTTTGTAAAGTTCTAACTTCAACATGTCAGGAGTTATTTTTGTTCTATTTAGATTGAAAAGCTCCTGACAGTGAGCGCTTTCCTTTCGTCGCTGTGAACTGTCTAACCTTGCGTGTTCACCAAATTCGGGCTAACTCTTAATTCGGTTTCAAAGTACGTTAAACAGTTGTGAACCACAATTTTATTTCATTTCGAATTATAAAGCATTTTCTTATCTTGCGGCAAATGATCAGATCAACTTTGATGTCCGATTTTTTTTCTTTTCGTTGTTTGTGCAAATATTTGTTTCAAACGGAGAAGCGTAAGTTGAAACATCGAACTTGAGGTGTGAAACATTACTTCTTTTGTTTTCTTGCCAGTATTAATCTCATCAGAGTTGTACTTAGGATATTACTACAGAATATTATCATTACTGTGTATCCCATAATAGTAGCCTTACGTCAAACATAAACTCAACTTCTATTCTACAGAGTGCCCAATAAAAAACGCTATAAATTCAAAAAGAAATTTATTTAGCTGTCAAGATTCAGGCACAGGCTGAACAATTGTCGTATATGTCTGAAATGTTAGCCTGAATGTTCAACACAAAGTTGTAAACGTGGGAACCAGGAGGAGGCTGTAGCTTTGTTCAAGGTCATGAATATTCAAGAAATTTATTCAAGGTTATTCAAGGTCATTTATTCCTGAAAGATAAAACAGTGATAATAAATTTACCTCTTTTTTAATGGGCGCCTCGATGTGGAATAATTTTTAACAAACTAGTCTAACAAATAAGGATTTCAATCCTCTATGTGTGCCCCGATACTTATAGCCTTGAGTTAGGCTTTGTTTAGTAAATACGATACAACGAGTATAATTCGGAAGTATTTTTAAATGAGTTAGTTTAGAAGATCATAGCTATTGTTAATCCTCAATGGTGGCACTAAACTTGTTGCCTTGTACCAACCCGAGATAAACAAAACTCGAAAAAGTTGTCATGGATCCGTCACATAGCTTTTATTATTGACTATTGTTAGAATTATTCTATTTTATTATTAGTTCTTGTTGTTAATCTCTTACTGGGCTTAACTTAACCGACGTGTAAGAATGAATCTTCTTTTCTTTCAGTATATTGCTCTTAATGAACTATTAGAATATTAATTATTGTACCGTACTTAATTAGTATATTAAATTTTACCATCGTTATCAAATGGGGAGAAATGCTTTTGTATACAAGCGGGCGCCAGACCTAAACTCAGATATTTTAAACGCTTCTTAATCAGACGAATTAATTTTCAGTGCTCAATGGATTTGCTTCTCTTTGCAGTTTCAGAAGTTTTCAATAATGGTTTGGTTTATTTTGTTTTACGGCATATCAACGTCAATGTGTCATTTAATGCCGACAAGATTTTTAGAATAGGTTCGTATGAATAGAATATGTATTCTTTGTAAGAAATCAGTTTCTAGGAGATTTGGTTTGGTTTATTTTGTTTTATGACATATCAACCTCAATGGGTTATTTAATGTCGACAACTTTTTTTACGTGGTAATATTTTTGTTTTGTCAAAAATCTATTTCTGGTAATATTTTTTTCCTCAAAAATGTATAGCTGATAATATTATTTTTTCAAAAACGTATTGCTGGTAATATTTTTTTTCTTCAAGAATTTATTTCTAGTAATAATTTTTACAAAGTATTTCTAACCTATTTTTACACTTTTATAATGCTGTTTACCTCAGTTTCGGTGTTAACTATTTGCCCATAGCTAGGACCCTAACAGGTGCTACCACCCCGGGTCAGGGTGGATCTGGGAACACCAGCAATTAAGAGGTGTTCCATGCTCCTCAAAGCCTCCTGATCAGAGGCCTTACGCAGGACGCGGATGTAGTTTGTCACCATACTCAGGACGCTTTTTTTACTGGGTTTTTTTTTTTTTTTTTTTTTTTAGAGAGCTTGCCAGGTGGCGATTCAATAATGGAAAATATGGCATCTGAAGAATATATCACCAATCAGATGTTGCAGATAGTAACTGTCGTAGATCACACTTACTACAGCAATCATCATTGGGGATCTTATTATCTCGACTTTGTCTCGAATGTAGCAATGCTTTGAACAAGCCAACCATTCTGCTTTTATTGCTTTTAATTTCCATCCTCACTGGGTACCATTCAATATTCCTGGCTGCCCTGGAGCGGGTACTCAATAGTTTCGTCTCGCAGTTTTATTCCTAGTGGGTTCAATCCTCACCTATTTCATTATTGTTGCATTCTTGTGCAAGATTAAGTACTTTTTGTTTTGTTTTTATCCCAACGCTTCGGCTGATGCATTCTCGCAGCTTCATCAGATGTATGTTGATTCTGCAGGTGGTATTGCAATTCTATGATGATTTTGACAGTATTTTCTTTACTGAATATGTGACAAAGAAATAAAAAAAATTTCCTCGACTGCATTCAAGAATTACTGGTCGCAATGCGCATGGGAAAATCGATTCTGTAGGGCTGCATTTAAAACAACAAAAATAAAGATACTCATTTGGATAATACGGTGAATGAAAAATCAATCAGGTCAAAGAATGGTAGATAGATAGATAGATAGATAGATAGATAGATAGATAGATAGATAGATAGATCTGAACAGACGAGGATAGATAGATAGATAGATAGATAGATAGATAGATAGATAGATAGAAAGTGAGTAGAATGGAATAAATAGATACGTTTGTTGAATTTAACACTTGGGTTATTTAATCTCAAATGGTGTTCTGGGACAAAATTCACAGTGGATTCATAGTTGATAGATATACGCCCGGGTTACACTAGAAACAAATGATCGACAGCTTTGCTTTACAATTGAATCAAAAAGGCATGGATTGCATTACAGTAAAAAAAAATTTAAAAAAAAAGGTAGAAAAAGGTACGGTTTATCCTTGATTTAAAGTAGAAACAAACACGTCTTAGACTCATAATCATAAAGGTCGACATAAGTCCGGTTTACACTAGTGTAAGAAAAGATAGATATGGGCAAAGTTCGTACTAGAAACACAAAGGTAAAAATTGGTCTGTAGCTGAGTCTGCAAGTATTCAGCCTCAAGAAGTACCCTTTTAGCGGGTAGCCGGATGTTACCCGTCTGCAGGAGATGCAGACGGCACATTCCAAGCCTCGTGGACAGATAATCACATAGATAGATAAGATTATTACATAACGGATTCAAAATTGTATCATTCAGATTTATTATGACTGAAACATGGATAGAGATATCGATTTTATGATCCCAACAGTGGAACTTTTTTTTTTTAAACTTTTTCATTTCCGAGTTATTGATAAAATGTAAAATTAGACGCAATGAGGCTGGTAAGTTCTTGTTATACATCATGACGGTCGTCTTCGAGTATAGAATCCAGAGGTTAGCAGTGAATATTTCGAAGACAGTGGGAAAGCGTTGTTCAGGTTAGCAGTGGATATTTCGATAAAAGTATCAGAGCATAGTTCGTCCTTCTGGTTCTCTTCGCCTGACAAGCTGGTCTGGACATTCGGGTAGAGTGAACAGAAATGGCCGCCTTTATACACGACGGATTGAATGTTCTGCGTCTTCTGATTGGTTAACCTTCTATTGGTGGACTATAAAGCGAGTCAAGTCATTTGGACTAACTCACTAGTTATATATATACATACATATACACAAAAAACTGTAACAGTTCTCAGGTCTACCCACTTCTGAATATCAGGAAATTAATCAATAAATACCAGGCTAATTGATTTTGGAAAGTGGTTAGACCAGGAAACTTTTCAGTGTCCACTATTAAAATAAACTCTTTTCGAAAATAGCCTATAAATTAATTTAACGTCGGGTGCGAGAGGAACACGAGGGGTTCAAACTTGTAGCATGTGATTCCGACAAACTTAGATAACTGATTTTCTTTTTCTTTTTTTTTTCTTTTTTTTTTTGGTTAAGCATTGAATATAATTTTTTTAAAACTCGTTGCCTCCATAATCAAATGAAATTTAATTTTTTTTCCGTGCTTTAAACTGGGTCTCGTGACTTTTAATTCTGATGTTCATTTTCTACAGATCTTAAAGCCCACAAATCGCGACCACAACACCCTCACAGGAAAGGTAACCATTCAATATTTTAACTTTTATTTCTAATTATACAACCGAAATGGTTTAATACTAACTTTTAGTCTAAATGCCTGGAATGTTGAGTTATCATTATTTACAGTATACACCCTTGTGCAAATTAATTGAAACGACTACTTTAGTTTCAATTTCTTTCACCATACGGTCAGTTTTAGACTTACTGGTGTGTACTTAATTTCTATTTTTTTCTCAGATTAGGTCATTTGCAGTGGTGTGCAGTAATATGAATCTACTTTCGGCGTGTATGGTGAAATTTGTTTGGCCTTGAAAAATATTGCGTCATTCGAGATTGCATCAGATTTTCATCACGAGCAGACACTATTATTTCGACTGTCCTACGACCATTGTCTGCGATGGACGTTACTCCAAGAAAACGTATGAAAATTGTAACGTTGCACGAACACACAGAAAAGCCTTACCAGTGAGCAAATCAAAGTATTATAGACTGGCTTGGAAACTCTCCTGATTTAAATGCAATCGAGAATCTGTGGTCAATCTGCAAAGAACGGCTTTGTGGAACGGACATACGAATTACTAACATGTGCATTCGGTCATGTTTCATTGTAAAAATACGAAAAAGTAAATAATAACGGAATTATGTGTTTTCTTTCAATTAATTTGCACAAGGGCCGTAGGACAACTCATCGACAGTCGAGACAATAGTGTATGGGCGTGATGAAAATCTGATGCAATCACGGATGACGCAATGTTTTTCAAGACCGAACAAATTTCATCATATACTCCGACAATAGATTCATATTACTGTACACCAATCTGAGGAAAAAATAGAAATCGATTAAACCCTGTCACTCCACTGAACGAATAGTGAAAGAAAGGAAACTAAACGGTTGTTTGAATTAATTTGCACAAAGGTGTAACGAAATGGTACAGTTCGAAATTCTCTCGGAGTTACCCGGATCGACAAGCATCTGATGAAAGCCGAAGAGTACAACGACTGAGACGTTGTGATAATAACAACAAAGATAAGGATAACAGTCCACATGTAAATAATGACAACTAACTTATCTAACCGACCAATTTTGACTAACATATCTAACAAACTAACTTTTTATATTTTTTTTTCTTTTTGCTATAAATGTTATTTTCACCGAGTATATGTTTTTGAGTTGATATTAGTGTTATTTTGAACAGTGGAATTAATGTCAACCGGTCTAGAGATCGGGAGTCTTCACTAAATAAAAATGCGTATACTGTCAGGAATGGAAATTGTATTCAGGGAAATCATTTCTTTAATCGAGGTGTATCCTACCAATTAGGTCACGGGAACACTTATTTCAGACTTCTCGATCTAGACCGGTTGATACATACTTACTGTTTGTGAAAAAAAATGGATGTCAACACAAACAGACGTATCGAGTAAAATTAAGTTTCATGGTCATTATCGCCTCTGGAAAAAATGATAGATTGATTTAACCAAAAACTCGACTCCTGATTTTAAAACAACTGACTTTCTTTTTTACTATTATTTTTTCAATTAAAATTTTACGTATTCACGAAGTCCTTTGTCATTTGGACAGAAATACTTTCCGGTAGACGTTAACAACACCTGAAATGCATAATCACTTATTATCGTCAATGCGTTTTATGCCGAATTTTCTCGTTAGAGGGCGCACTTCTTTTTGCCTCTGCCTTTTACCAATTTTTTTTTTTGATTTTCGTAAGTCCTAATAGATAATTCAGGCAAAAGAGCCTCCTTGACTGCGAAACGGTTTTGTTTTTTATTTGTTTTTTACTAAATAGACAAAATTCAGCGTCTATTCGGTGGTGAGGAAACGCTACTTTAGAAGTATTGAATTGTTGATAACGGTGACTATTTAGGAGTTTTCTCTACACCGAAATCTTAGATAGATAGATAGATAGATAGATAGATAGATAGATATGACCAAGTTTAGATAGATAGATAGATAGATAGATAGATAGATAGATAGATAGATAGATAGATACGAAGAAATAAAATAGATATGAACAAACTGAGATAGATAGATAGATAGATAGATAGATAGATAGATAGATAGATAGATAGATAGATATGACCAAGCTGAAATAGCTATGAACTACTTTAGATAGATAAACCTTAGACTGGTGTGGACCAAACGACGTTGAAAGTCCTGAAAGACCGAATTAGTATCAATTCCGAAGCCAGGTGAGATGCTTTATCCAATGTCGTGATGTTAGGAAAAGCAAAATGTCGGATCTTTCTGTTTCCGTATCCCAATGAAACTAAAACAAAAGCTGAAATTCACTTAACGGTATACGCCTGGTTGCCCTTGCTTTCAATGTAGATTTCATTTTGTCAGTATCACGTATTATTCAAGACAGTTCGAACGAAACGCTTCTGATCTTAATGATTGCGGTTACATGGTCAGCCACTGAGCTGTCCACGGGGATTAGGGGGTGGTGATGATAATGCCTTCCCTCAGATAGATTTTAGAACGACAGATGTCAAATATCTCCACACATTCAGAAAAGAAAAGTGCCATTTGTGCAGCATCAAATATTATGCCCCCATTCGAACTCTGAGACCCGAGCCAATGTGCAGAATAATTTTCACACATTTCCGATTTGTGGAACGGCGTGCAAATCATTGATTGGATTAAAATCTCGTAAGTGACATGAAAATCAGAACAAAAAAAAGAAGCTTTTGAACGCAAATCGACGGAATGGTAGATTCTGCTTATTATTAAATATCGTTGTTGTGGTTGTTGTTATGTATTTGGGTGTTTGTGGGTGTGTTGCTTGTTAAAGTCAGCTGTATTTTCACGTGTAAGTTAAATCAACAGAGATAATAATGAATGTTTTAATAAATAGGAATAAAGATATATATTGTCATTCTCCGATATTGTCATTTCATTAAAAATGTACAAATAAGAAGCTTGTAAATATATAGCGATCTTGTCGACAAAAGAATTCACTAACTGGCTCCAGATAGATAGATAGATAGATAGATAGATAGGAACAAACTAAGATAGATAGAGAGAGATAGAGAGAGAGAGAGAGAGAGAGAGAGAGATGAACAAGCTGAGATACAAGTTTGAACAAGTTTGGATAAATAGACAGATAGATAGATAGATAGATAGATAGATAGATAAGAACAGACAGACAGATGCATCGAACGAAAACTATTTTCCCGATCACTTTCTTTCTTTTTTCCTTTCCTTCTAACTTTCTTTCTATCCTTCTTTCTATCTTTCTTTCTTTCTTTCCCTGCCACCAACCAAATCCTCCCCCATTAGATTCAATCGAAAAACTATCAAATGTTAAGTACACTCTACAAAAAGCATTTATTCTATTCTGATTTGACTACATATGTAATTGCGTATGTATATGTTCAAATGCACTTCGATTGTATCATATATATATATATATATATATATAAAATACCAATTTGTATTTGTTAGGGATTATTTCAAGGAGGACATTAATCTAAAGAAAGCTCAATGAAAATTAGATAAAAATTTGATGATCATCATGATGGTGATAATGATTGTATTATGTGATGATTGCTGGCTTTTATACACACATTGTTGTAGGTCTTCTAACTTACTATACATTTCATTCCTCCTTTTCCTTCGTATCCATTTACTTTTTCATCCCTTTTTCTTTCTGTCCCTTTTCATTCTCATCCATTTTTCTTCTCATTACTTTTTATTCTCATAACTTTTCCTTCCAATCCATTTTCCTTCTCATCATTTTTGCATCCTATCTCTTTCCCTTCCTATGCCTTTATTTCCAATCCCTTTTCCTTCCTACGATTTTCTACCTATCCATTTTACATCTTATCTCTTTTGCTCATACATTTTACTTCTCCTCCCTTTTCCTTATTATCTCTTTCCCACCTTATCCCTTTTCCTTCCTATCGCTTTACTTTCTCATCATTTTCCTACGTATATATTTCCATTCTCATCCCTTTTCCTTCCTATCTCTTTCCCTTCCTATCCCATTAATACATATCCCTTTTCTTCCCCATCACTTTTCCTTCTCAACCCTTTCCCTTCTCATCCCTTTAACTTCTCATCCAGTTCTTTCCTATCCTTTTTACTTGTCATCCCTTTTACTACACATCTCTTTCCTTCTAATCCCTTTCCTTCTCATCCCTTTTCCTTCTCATCCCTTCCATTTCCATCCCTTTTCCTTCTCATCCCTTTTCCTTCCTATCCCTTTTCCTTCTCATCCCTTTCCTTTTCATCCCTGTTCCATCTCATCCATTTTCCTTTTCATCCCTTCTATTTCCATCCCTTTTCATTTTCATCCCTTTTCCTTCTCATCCCTTTTCCTTCTCATCCCTTTCCTTTTCATCCCTTTCCTTTTCATCCCATTTCCTTATCATCCCTTTTCCTTCTCATCCCTTTCCTTTTCATCCCTTTTCCTTCTCATCCCTTTTCCTTCTCATCCCTTTCCTTTTCATCCCTTTCCTTTTCATCCCATTTCCTTCTCATCCCTTTTCCTTCTCATCCCTTTCCTTTTCATCCCTTTTCCTTTTCATCACTTTTCCTTATCATCCCTTTTCCTTCTCATCCCTTTCCTTTTCATCACTTTTCCTTCTCATCCTTTTCCTTTTCATCCCTTTTCCTTCTCATCCCTTTCCTTTTCATCCCTTTTCCTTCTCATCTTTTTCCTTTTCATCCCTTTTCCTTCTCATCCCTTTTCCTTCTCATCCCTTTTCCTTCTCATCCCTTTCCTTTTTATCCCTTTTCTTCTCATCCCATTTCCTTCTCATCCCTTTCCTTCCTATCTCTTTTCCTTCTCATCCCTTTTCCTTCTCATCCCTTTTCCTTCCTATCCATTTTCCTTGTCATCTCTTTCCCTTCTCATCCCTTTTCCTTCTCATCCCTTTTCCTTCTCATCCTTTCCCTTTTTATCCCTTTCCTTTTCATCCCTTTTCCTTTTCATCCCTTTTCCTTCTCATCCCTTTTCCTTCTCATCCCTTTCCTTTTCATCACTTTTCCTTCTCATCCTTTCCTTTTCATCCCTTTTCCTTCTCATTCCTTTCCTTTTCATCCCTTTTCCTTCTCATCCTTTTCCTTTTCATCCCATTTCCTTCTCATCCCTTTCCTTTTTTATCCTTTTCTTCTCATCCTTTTCCTTCTCATCCCTTTTCCTTCCTATACATTTTCCTTGTCATCCCTTTCCCTTCTCATCTCTTTCTTTTTCATCCCTTTTCCTTCTCATCCCTTTTCCTTCTCATCCCTTTTCCTTCTCATCCCTTTCCTTTTCATCCCTTTTCCTTCTCATCCTTTTCCTTTTCATCCCTTTTCCTTCTCAACCCTTTCCTTTTTATCCCTTTTCCTTTTCATCCCTTTTCCTTCTCATCCCTTTCCTTTTTATCCCTTTGCCTTCTCATCCCTTTTCCTTCTCATCCCTTTTCCTTCTCATCCCTTTCCTTTTCATACCTTTTCCTTCTCATCCGTTTCATTTTCATCCCTTTTCCTTCTCATCCTTTTCCTTTTCATCCCTTTTCCTTCTCATCCCTTTCCTTTTCACCCCTTTTCCTTCTCATCCTTTTTCCTTCTCATCCCTTTTCCTTCTCATCCCTTTTCATCCCTTTCCCTTCTCATCCCGTTCCTTTTTATCCCTTTTCCTTCTCATCCATTTTCCTTCTCATCCCTTTCCTTGTCATCCCTTTTCCTTCTCATTCCTTTTCCTTCTCATCCCTTTCCTTCTCATCCCTTTTTCTTCTCATCCCTTTCCTTCTCATCCCTTTTCCATTTTCCTTCTCATCCCTTTTCCTTCTCATCCCTTTCCTTCTCATCCATTTTCCTCCTTATCCCTTTCCTTTTTATCCCTTTTCCTTCTCATCCCTTTTCCTTCTCATCCATTTTCATTCTCATCCCTTTCCTTTTCATCCCTTTTCCTTCTCATCCCTTTTTGTCATCCCTTTCCTTCTCACCCCTTTCCTTTTCATCCCTTTTCCTTCCTATCCCTTTTTCTTCTCATCCCTTCCCTTTTCATCCATTTTCCTTCTCATCCCTTTTCCATCTCATCCAATTTCCTTCTCATCCCTTTTTTGTTTTCATCCCTTTTCCTTCTCATCCATTTTCCTTCTCATCCCTTTCCTTGTCATCCCTTTACCTTCTCATCCCTTTCCTTTTTATCCCTTTTCCTTCTCATCCATTTTCCTTCTCATCCATTTTCCTTCTCATCCCTGCCCTTTTCATCCCTTTTCCTTCTCATCCCTTTCCTTATCATCCATTTCCTTGTCATCCCTTTTCCTTCTCATCCCTTTTCCTTCTCATCCCTTTCCTTTTCATCCCTTTCTTTTTCATCCCTTTTCCTTCTCATCCCTTTTCCTTCTCATCCCTTTCCTTTTCATCCCTTTCCTTTTCATCCCTTTTCCTTGTCATCCCTTTCCTTTTCATCCCTTTTCCTTTTCATCCATTTTCCTTATCATCCCTTTCCTTTTTATCCCTTTTTCTTGTCTTCCCTTTCCTTGTCTTCCTTTTTCCTTCTCATCCCTTTCCTTCCTATCTCTTTTCCTTCTCCTCCCTTTCCTTCTCTTCCCTCTCCTTCTTATCTCTTTTCCTTCTCATTCCTTTTCCTTCCTGTTCCTTTTCATTCTCATCTCTTTTCCTTCTCATCACTTTTCCTTTTCATCCCTATTCATTCTCATCCCTTTTATTCTTATCCCTTCTCTTTCTCTCCCTTTTCTTTCTCACCCATTTTCCTTTTTTTATCAATTTTATTTTCAATACCCACTATAGTCTCATGTCTTTATGTACGCCATTTTAATGAAAATCTTCTTGGTCATTCTTTTTATTTTAGCCATTCATTTATTTTTCCTTCTTTCCTTTCTCTTTCTTTCTTTTTTTCTCCTATTTTTCCTTTTTTTTTCTTATTATATTGTATATCTTCTTTTTATTCTTTTTCTTTTCATCCCTTCTATTTCCATCTCTTTTCATTTTCATCCCTTTTCCTTCTCATCCCTTTTCCTTCTCATCCCTTTTTTTCCTTCCCCCTTTCCTTTTCATCCCTTCTCATCCTTCCTTCCCCTTTCCTTTTCATCCCTTTTCCTTCTCATCCCTTTTCCTTCTCTTCCCTTTCCTTTTCATCCCTTTCCTTTTCATCCCATTTCCTTCTCATCCCTTTTCCTTCTCATCCCTTTCCTTTTCATCACTTTTCCTTCTCATCCCTTTTCCTTCTCATCCCTTTCCTTTTCATCACTTTTCCTTCTCATCCTTTTCCTTCTCATCCCTTTTCCTTCTCATCCCTTTTCCTTCCTATCCATTTTCCTTGTCATCTCTTTCCCTTCTCATCCCTTTTCCTTCTCATCCCTTTCCTTTTCATCCCTTTCCATTCTCATCCCTTCTCATCCCTTTCCTTTTCATCCCTTTTCCTTTTCATCCCTTTTCCTTTTATCCCTTTTCCTTTTCATCCCTTTTCCTTATCATCCCTTTCCTTCCTATCCCTTTCATCCCTTTTTCTCATCCCTTTCCTTTTCATCCCTTTTCCTTTTCCTTTTCCTTCTCATCCCTTTTCCTTTCATCCTTTTCCTTCTCATCCTTTTCATCCCTTTTCCTTCTCAACCCTTTTCCTTTTTATCCCTTTTCCTTTTCATCCCTTTTCCTTCTCATCCTTTTTTTTATCCCTTTTCATCCCCTTTTCCTTCTCATCCCTTTTCCTTTTTTTATCCTTTTCCTTTTCATTCCTTTTTTCCTTTTTCCCTTTTCCTTTTCATCCCTTTCCTTTTCATCCCTTTTTTCCTTCTCCCTCCCTTTTCCTTTTCCTCCCTTTTTTTCCTTCTCATCCCTTTTTCCTTCTCATCCGTTTCATTTTCTCATCCCGTTCCTTTTTATCCTTTTCCTTCTCATCCATTTTCATTCCTCATCCATTTCCTTCTCATCCCTTTCCTTTCATCCCTTTTCCTTCTCATTCCTTTTCCTTCTCATCCCTTTCCTTCTCATCCATTTTCCTTCTCATCCCTTTTCCTTCTCATCCCTTTCCTTTTTATCCCTTTTCCTTCTCATCCATTTTCCTTCTCATCCCTTTTCCTTCTCAACCCTTTCCTTCTCATCCATTTTCATTTTCATCCTTTCCTTTTCCTTTTCCTTCTCATCCCTTTTTGTCATCCTTTCCTTCTCCCTTTCCTTTTCATCCTTTTCCTCCCTATCCCTT